TGTCTCATGAATATAAAGGGAACATGTGACTTTGATTTTCATTCCCCCCCAACAATTACTGTCCAGAGGAATGGCAATGGAGATACTTAGTTCAGGATAACGTAAGGAAGCCCAATGTACATGTTTTTAATTGCACCCCATGATGTACAGTATGGATGGTGGGGACAGGAGGTTAGATAGAATGATTGCCAAGTGTGCTTTGCTGGGTCTGATGGGCAAAACAGTAAAATGGCAGTAAAATTTGGGAAATAATGAAAAGTAGAGATACTGGGCTATGTGAATGCAAAAGCAGGAGAAACTGGGACAGATTCCTAGCTGGTGGAAACACATGTACCTCCATTGAAAGCACCAGTGTGAAGTGCTCTGTGTGTGGCATAATGCTTAATTAGCAGGCAGCCCCACTATACACTAGCCCCATATAGAGTGCATTAAAATAAATTAAATTTGGGTGACAAAGGTCTGGATAATTGTAGCAAGGTTCCACCTCTGTCAAAAAAAGCTGCACTCTTTATGCCAGCTGGAGCAAAGGGCCCTTGGCACCAACTGCTAGTTAGGATCCCAGAAGAACCCAATATCTAATAAGGCATCCAAAGGTCAAATTAATGATCCAAATGGAAGTCACATTCCCAGCATAAGAGGTGCTGATACAGGGCCTGATTCTCCACTATATTACTCCAGTTTTATGTTGGGTTACACCAGTGCAAAAATGGATTAACATAGTGATGAATCAGGCCCATAATTGCAAGCTCTTCTGTGTGCTTCTCTCAATTCCCAACGTTATCTGATTTAATATGACCGCTTATTTTTATAGGCAGCGCAGGTAGCGATACCTCTAGTTTAGATTGCCCAACTGTTTCCAAGATAAGAACTTGCTTTCAGCTGCTTACAACTTTGCCAAACTTAAAATGTTTGGGCTGACATTCTACATGCCAGGTGTCTGCCTAAGCCTGAATTTTTTTGGAAAGTTTCAGCTACAAATGATACAGCCATTGCCAAGAATGAGGTTAGAGAAAAATACAGTGTTTGCCCATGTTAAAATATTCTTACTACTGCTTTGGTGAGAAGCTTTAGTGACTTCAGGATTTGGATCAGGGGACTTGAAATTTGGCAGGGCAGTTGATGTCAGGTACATGCCTTTTGCTACTCCAGTGAAAATTCACCTATATTTGGCCAAGTCATAAGCCTCAAAACAAACAAACAAACAAACAAAAAAAACCCCCTCAATTTGCATGTATGAAGTAGAGACTTCTTAGAGTTTGGCAGCTACATTCTCCACAGATTCCATCTGCACTGAGAGTGCTCCATCCCCTTACAGTGCCCTGTGCCTATCAGCCTATGCATGTGCCTACCTCCCCACAGTGTGACTGAGCATACTCCACCACAAGGATGCAGGTACTGATGAGAACTTTCCTTTTGTTCCTCCCAGCTACTGTGGACTCGAACTTAGAGCAGGGTGACTCTCTCTCTGGTGCTCAGTGCTCCTCCTGCTGGCGCACAGGCAGTATGGAGAAGGATGAAGCTGACTGTCTTGAATGTTAAAAGCATGGGACTGCAAGGGGCCTTGAGAGGTCTTCTAGTCCAGTCCCCTGCACTCATGGCGGGACTCAAGTATTATCTAGACCATCCCTGACAGGTGTTTGTCTAACTGGCTCTTAAACCTCCAATGATGGATATTCCACAACCTCCCTAGGCAATTTATTCTAGCAGGGCCGGCTCCAGGCACCAGCCCACCAAGCGTGTGCTTGGGGCGGCGCCTGGAGGGGGGCAGCGCGGCAGGGCGCTCCGGCCCGAGAGTGGGGCCGCAACTGGGCTCGCCGCCCTCCCCGCGGCGCTCCGGCCGCCGGGGAGAGCGGGGCCCCAGCCGGGCTCACCGCCCTCCCCCCGGCGCTCCGGCCGGTCGGGGAGAGCGGGGCCCCGGCTGGGCTCGCCGCCCTCCCCCCGGCGCTCTGGCCGTCGGGGAGAGCAGAGAGCCCCGGCCAGGCTCGCCGCCCTCCCCCTGGTGCTCTGGCCGCCGGGGAGAGCGGAGAGCCCCGGCCGGGCTCGCCGCCGGGGGCTCTCCGCCCTGCTCCCGGCGCTCTGGCCGCCGGGGGCTCTCTGCCCTCCCCCCAGCGCTCTGGCCGCTGGGGAGAGCGGAGAGCCCCGACCGGGCTCTCCGCCCTCCCCCCGGCGCTCCGGCCAGTCGGGGACTGCGGGCCCGCGGCCGGGCTCGGCGCCCTCCCCTGCCGCAATGGGGGGAGGAGGGGCGGCCGGTGGCTTTTTTGCCTAGGGCGGCAAAAAAGCCAGAGACGGCCCTGTATTCTAGTGCTTAACCACCCTGACAGTTAGGAAGTTTTTCCTAATGTCCAGCCTAAACCTCCCTTGCTGCAGTTAAGCCCATTGCTTCTTGTCCTATCTTCAGAGGCTAACGAGAACAAATTTTCTGCCTCCTCCTTGTAACGTTCTTATATACTTGAAAACTATTATCCTGTCCCCTCTCAGTCTTCTCTTCTCCAGACTAAACAAACCCAATTCTTTCAATTTTCCCTCATAGGTCATGTTATCTACACCTTTAATCATTTTTGTTGTCTCCTCTGGACTTTCTCCAATTTGTCCACATCTTTCCTGAAATGTGGCACCCAGAACTGGACACAATACTCCAGTTGAGGCCTAATCAGCGCAGAGTAGAGTGGAAGAATTACTTCTTGTGTCTTGCTTACACCATTTCTAATATATCTCAGAATGATGTTTGTTTTTTTGCAACAGTGTTACACTGTTGACTCATATTTAGCTTGTGATTCACTATGACCCCCAGATCCCATTCTGCAGTACTTCCTAGACAATCATTTCCCATTTTGTATGTGTGCAACTGATTGTTCCTTCTTAAGTGGAGTACTTTGCATTTGTCCTTGTTGAATTTCATCCTATTTACTTCACACCATTTCTCCAGTTTGTCCAGATCATTTTGAATTTTAATCCTATCCTCCAAAGCACTTGCAACCTGTGTTTCTTCTAAGCTGCGTGCCTGCGCAGCCACACAAGAAGTCATCAAGGACCGTGCAGCTGATTAGTACAGCCGTGCAGGCATGCACATAGGGGTGTAGCCACAGGTGGGCCTGGAGAATGTCTAGATAGGTAGATCAGTGGGGTGAGCCGGGGGTAATAAGTGGTAGGTGGGGGCAGTGGGGTGATGTGGGGGGTAGCAATGGGGAAGCTTGGGGCGTGCAGGACTGCGGCATGGAGAGACACCTCTCCCCCAGCCCCGGGGCTGCGGTGGGGAGAGACGCCTCTCCTCAGCCCCAGGGCTGTGGCGGCGAGAGAGGGCTCTCCCCCAGCTTGGGTTGCGGCAGGGAGAGAGGACTCCCCTCAGCCTGGGCCAGTGGTGTCTCACTCCCCAGCTGAGGGACCCGGTTCTCTTGGGCTTAGCCAAGCAGTTTGTTTCCCCTGCAGTCCAATCAGTACTCATCAACTGGTGATGACTGGCCTGCTCTGATGCAGCAACACCTCAGGTGGCTTTTTTTGATCTGATACTTTTTAATGCAACAAGGTGAAAATCTCAACCACGTGAGATCCCTCTAAATTTCCCTTTCACCCTTATTTAAAAAAATCCGACAATATTCTACTCAGGAGTTACCCCGCACACTGTAGTGGCACTGTTGCGAGATGCAGCACTGTTGGAGGAATAGCCTGGCACTTTTGCATAAGGATAGCTTAATGGTTCTAACTAGGGTGACCAGACAGCAAGTGTGAAAAATCAGGACGGGTTTGGGGGGTAATAGGAGCCTATATAAGAAAAAGACCCAAAAATCGGGACTGTCCCTATAAAATTGGGACATCTGGTCACCCTAGTTCTAACTGTCATGGTGGGAGGGATTTGAACGCAACTCTCAGAAGTTAACTGTGAGCATGAATGAAGGGAACTGGTTACTCAGTCAGACTCTGAGGATCAACCGAACAGTAGGTGGTATGGTTGTCCCCTAGACCTACCCCTTCCTCTTTTCCTCCAAGATTTGCCACTGCAGGTAAGAAGAGCAAAGGTATGGTTGGAGGATGTAGGTCCATCTTGAGACATCCTTTGGGTGGGGTAACCTTAGCCAAGCTTTTCTGAATGTCCAAATATTGTTTTTGTGTTGAAGGCTGGATAAACGTTCCTGTGCATGTGGATTATTTGGCATCCCTTGTAACTGATCGCTTAATTATTTGCTCTATTATCTTTCTGAGTACTGAAATTAAGCTGATTGGTCTGTAATTCCCTGGGTTGTCCTTATTTCCCTTTTTATAGCTGGGCACTATATTTGTCCTTTTTCCAGTCCTCTGGAATTTCTCCCATTTGCCCTTCTGGGAGCCGCTCAAGGTAACCACCGCCCAGCCACCTCACCCCCTCTCGCAGCCGAACCCCCTGCCCCAGCCCCCTCCCAGAGCCCATACCCCCTCCTGAACCCCAACCCCCTGCCCCAGCCTGGTAAAAGTGAGTGAGGGTGGATGCATCCGAAGAAGTGAGGTTTTTACTCACGAAAGCTTATGCCCAAATAAATCTGTTAGTCTTTAAGGTGCCACCAGACTCCTTGTTGTTTTTGAGGGTGGAAGAGAGCATACGGGGCAGAAGTGGACTAGAGTGAGCGGGGGGGGGGCTCGGAGAAGGGGCGGGGCAAGGGGTGTCTGTGTGATTAGCAACACTAATGCTGACCCTGCGGCCGAGGGCCAGAGCGCGACCAGCGATTTTGTGGGGCTTGAGCTAAATTAAGGGCCGAGGTCAGCCTGAGCCCTGTGATGCTGGGGCCAGTAGCACCTATCACGAACCCGTACTCGGTTCCTACTGCACAGGACCGGGACCCCGACCCCACGCTCTGCCGTAGGAAATGGGCCCAGCGGAAACTACCCTTCGGCACACGGAGCTTCCGGCGGGCCGCGCGACCAATCAGATGTGTCCGTGGTACTAGGAACCGGCCAATGGGGCCGAGGCTGGTGGCGGTTGAAGTTTAAACTCTCGAACGGAGCGAGCGAGCTGGCTGCCGTTGGGACTTAGCCACGGAGGCGCTGAGCCGGCGTCCGTGGCCCGCGGAGCTGTGGTTGCCGCGCCGGGTAGGTGAGCGCGGCTCGAGGGGAGGAGGCCCTGGGTGGGCTCTGCGGGGCGCTGAAGGCAGGACGGCTCCGGGGTGGCTCAGCCATTGCTGGGTCGGCGGGGTGTCCCGGGAGGGACTGGGCCTTCGGACGTGCCCCAGCGATCTCAGAACCTCGGTCTTCTCCTTCACTGGGGGGTCTACAAACCCCCTTGTGGCAGATGCACCAGCGCAGACATGGCCCCGCCCGCCCGCTGAGGAGCGCCCCCCCCCCCCCCTCCCAAGGCTTGGCAGGATGAGATTGTTATTGGTAAATGTCTGCAAGCCTGGATTTCACCCTGCACCGCCAAATCCACCGAAACATATTTCTCTCGATCGTTACTGCCCCTTACGCATAGGCAAAGGACGAAAAAACACAGCCCGAGAGCTTCTGATTTAAGGATATTTAGTTTGTATAATTTTGTGATGTTGAGAGATTGTGTTTTAATGGTTATAAAGCTTTACCTTTTTGAACCTCCATCTCTGCTGTCAGTCAGTACTTATTGCCTGACCTCCCCTCCCCCCATCATTTCCTGTAGGGTGACCAGATGTCCCAATTTTATAGGGACAGTGCTGATTTGGGGGTCTTTTTCTTATATAGGCTCCTATTACCCCCACCCCCTGGCCTGATTTTTCACACTTGCTGTCTGGTCACCCTAATTTCCTGCAACTGTGAAAATGTAAATTGATAAAAATGAAACAAAATGCTTAAAACCCATAATTTAATGCAACTGTGAACATGTAAATAGGAAAAATGCTTAAAATAAGCATCTATTTATCTGTCAAAATTATAAAACAGAATTCTGTCAAGTCTATGGAAGAGCCACAGTGGCTGTGCTGTTTCAGCCAACACTTAAAGTTGGTGGTTCATTTAGTTAATACCCCATCAAGGGCCTCTCTCTCATCCTCACTCTTCTCAAGTTGTAGCTTTAATAGGAGTATAACAGGAGTCCATGGTATTCTATCTGTCTGGCCCACCCCCTTTTACTGTAGCATCTAATTGCCTCACAATCTTTAATGCAGTTATCCTCATGACATCTCTGCAACACAGGAAAGTGCTGTTATCCCCGTTTTACACATGGGGAACTGAGGCAGAGAGAGAACTAAGTGACTTGCCTGAGGTTGTGGGAAGTCTGTGGCAGAGCAGAGAATTGGGTGTGTCAAGTAAGTCCCAGGCTAGCACCTGAAGCCCTGGACCACCCTTTCTCTATTGTTTACTTTCTTGTGCAGTGTTTCAGGAGAGGTCACCATGTCACAGGAGTGGAATGAGTGGGAGCTGAGTAAAGAGAATGTGCAACCCCTGAGACAGGGGCGAATCATGTCTACCCTGCAGGAAGTCTTGTCTCAGCAGGAGACTTCCAGCCACACAGCTATTCAGCAGCAAAAACAGTGAGTAAAATATTGACCTATTTTCATCAGTGTTTCTGTACCTTCTGTTGAGTTTCCACCATTAGTCTCCTGGCTATAAGAAGAGTGTAGGGAGCAGAAGTACAGTCTGAATTTTTACTAATGCTGCTGTGTATGGTTGTAGCACACTAAAGCTGTCAAAGGAATTTGCCTTTTATGCAATGTATAGATGAAGGGCTGGTGCCAAAGGGAATTCCTTTTATGGTTCAATAGTGGAACATTTAAACTGCAAGCACTATGGCAGGGGTTCTCAAACTCTGGGGGTTGGGACCCCTCAGGGGTTGCGAGGTTATTACATGGGGGCTTGTGAGCTGTCAACATCTACCACAACCCTGCTTTGCTTCCAGCATTTATAATGGTGTTTAAATATATAAAAAAGTTTTTTTAATTTATAAGGGAGGGTCGCACTCAGAGGCTTGCTACGTGAAAGGGGTCACCAATAAAAAAGTTTGAGAACACTGCACTAAGGAGAATCTCTTGTGTCTGAATATTCTTCTAAAGAGGAATATACAAATATTACAGGAGGATGTCCTTCCTTTTCCCCCCTCTGCTTTATAGTAATCTTCCAAATGAAAGTACTGAACAGGGAAGGCGCAACTCCTACCATAATAATCTAGTGAGGATGGCTACTTGTCAGGGAAAAATACCTCTCCGCTATAATAATCCATCAAAATGGGCTACCTGTCAGTTGATTATCTTTCCCTCCCAGGGTACAAGAATTCTCTTTGATGGGACCATATGACTCGCAGGATAGTAACTTTTGGAAATGCGCACTGAAAGGCTATTCCAATGCTTCCTTGTTAAATGTCAGAGTACTAGAAAACTTTTTGTGTCCAAGGATGGTTTAAGAGCCTAATTTGGTTCCTTTGACACCAGTGGGAGCAGGATTTGGTCCTGCTGCAGGAGAAATAAACAAGTTTGTCTCCAAAGAAATATTCACCGTGATATGAATAGGAGTGAAGATCTTGTTTTCTGCCATGTTAACTATATCTTTGTAGTATTGAGCTACTGTTTACGTATCCTGTTGTATCTTTTCTAGGGAATTTGAATCTGAAATCCGCTTTTATTCTGGAGATGATCCATTGGATGTTTGGGACAGGTAGGCATCTTTATTTTGCTAGAATGGGATAGTAAAATCTCTAGCATTTCCAACTATTAGAGAGTTTCATGTAGGACTATTACAAGAAGTGAATAAAGTGCTTTCATTTTTTAACAGAAACCCCCGCATTAATAGGTTAAGGTGTAGAAAGAGAAATGTCTTTTGTTGTAATAATCTATGGTCTATCTTTTCTCCGTATTATAAACCTAATTTTTCTTTTCTCATAATATATAAAAATTAAGATGCCTCTATTTTTATACCATCTACAGGTACATCAAATGGACAGAGCAAACATTCCCTCAAGGTGGAAAAGAGAGCAACCTCTCAGCAGTGCTGGAGAGAGCTGTAAAAGCACTGAATGAGCAGCAGAGATACTACAAAGACCCTCGCTATCTCAGTCTCTGGCTCAAGTTTGTAAGTATCCTTTTGATGTTCTCTTAGGTACTTTCTTAAGCATTTTCTGAAGCTTTCGGATGTCACTCAACTACTTTTCTTTGTACAGTGCATTCTGTGACTGCTAGCAGTGTAAATTTAGGATTAGTTCTCTACACTTCTGTCAGGCACGTGACAGCTGTTCACAATATAGGATTCATATACCAATCTATCATTTAAAGACTGCTCTTCCAATGGAATCTTCAGGAGTCTTCTGGTGTCATTCAGCCTGGACAGAAATTGTACCTGGCTTTCTTCAGAAGTATTCATTTGAAAAACTACATATTTCTTTAGACTGATGCAGCTCTGCTCAGTTAAACAGAACAGAAGAAGCTTAAAGGAATGCAGCTGACTTGAAATCTAGTCAGTTAGAAGAAGAAGAAAAAACCAGTGAGGGGTAAATGAAATGTCAGCTACTATATCTGCCCCTAAGCCTCAGAACGGCTCATGGTTTTTTATCCTTTGATGTTTTTCTTCTCTCCCCTGTTGCTGCATGGAAGGCATACACAAACAGAGGAAAATGACAGTGAAACTGAATACACAGAATAAATGGAAAGAAGACAATTTTTTCCTATAATCTTTTTCTAGTTGTCTTAAATGTCATAACAATAGCAGGCAAAAACATTTCAAAAATATTGTGTTTTTTGTTTTTAAAGGCACAGGTGCATCATATGCAATAGCAGTCCATAGGCTTCTCTAGGTGGCTCATTGTCCATTGCATATGCCCTGTGTGTTGCTAAGAGGCAGCACATCCTTTTGAAGTGCTTGTTGCTTCCCAGAACTGGGTTCCTTCTGCCTAGTACCCTCTCTCCTGCATCACCCCGGTAGGGGGAGACTAAGTCTTCTGTTAGGCAAGATCCTTACTCCTGGAAGACACATAATGTCCTCTAGCTACTATCACACATGGACACTTCATAAAGTTCATATCCTTTTCCTTGTCCCTCAGAGTGATGATTTAATTGGTCCCTTCAAGTAGGAAAATGAGTGATCCTGAACTGTCCAACATCTATAGTTAAGATGAAGTGAGAATCCAGCTGCTACTCACCTGCCTTACAATGAAAAGTAGCTTATTTCAAAACTAATGTAACAGTCAAAAGAATAAAGTAAAATTGGAAGATCTTTATGGCAGGGACTGTTGTTGTTGTTCTGTAACTACAGTGCACAACACGGTGGGGGCTTGGTCCATAACTAGGTCTCCTAGGTATTACAGTAATACTAACATCTCTGCTTTCCTTCCAGTGAAGATCAGACTAGTGTAAAGCTTTGCTTGTTTGAGGCAGAAGGAAGGGTTCTAGTTTTAGTGTAACTTCTCTAACCCAAGTTACAAAATATGAGACCTGAAATAATTTAACAAAATAAATGTTGATTAGCACTGTTCTGCTGGTTTCACAAGGTGCATTTGTTGGAGGGACTGGATCTGGACGGCTTGAGGTTAGTAGTGGTGGCTTGTAGGTCACCGTTCTAAATCGAGCCTGATTCGGGAGTGATTTTAAAGTTAATGCTATAGGATGCCCATTCAATTCCACATCAAAACTACCACTAACTTGCATCTTAGTTGGTACCAAATTGAGTTTGGTACCAAATGAATTCCCTAAATCCTAAGTTCCCTTTTGGATGCTAGAGGTAGTCTTTCTTCTTGCTTCTATTCTCATTCCCCAAATGTCAGGCTGTTGACAGGGTAGTGTGTCCCTGTTCTGAGGATTAACAGGACTTTTGCCTCCAGGGCCATTAGTTTGGCACCTTACACAATTCTTAAACACTATTATAAAGAAAAATTAAAGAGAGAAAATGCCCATATGTAAGTTTATGGGCTGGAATTAAGTGAACAGTTCTACCACCCATTAAGTATATGCATAGAGTCATAGGTAACAATAGCAGTCTTGCTTAGTAGCACTATATTTGAATCTTCTAGCAATTGCTTTCCTCATCTTGTGAACTTTTGATTTCTCTTAAATGCAAAGAGTTATGTCTAACCTTGGGTCTGCTCCTGTGGAACTTGAATTGAAAACAATGGAAGCCTTGCAGGTGCATCAAAGGGCAGCAATTGACCCAGAGTCTTTATTTTTTTATTTTATTGGTGCAGTAAATCACTGAAACTTCTGGGCTATTGCAGGGAAACTATTGTAGTGAACCGTTGGACCTCTACAGTTATCTACACAGCCAGGAAATTGGCACATCGCTGGCGTTATTCTACATCACATGGGCAGAGGCGCTTGAGGCGAGAGGTAGTTATAAGAAAGCAGATTTAATATTCCAGGAAGGGCTTCAGTGCAGGGCTGAGCCTCAAGACAAACTACAGTCCCATCACAGGTAAAACTTGCCCGTGGAATGAGTAAAAATGGATTTGTTTTGTATGGCTCTGAATAGGCAACCTGCATAGTGAAATTCACACTGACTTTTGCATTTTTTTCAGGCAGTTTCAAGCCCGTGTCTCTCGACAGACCCTGCTGGGACTTGAGCAAGATGAGGAGGAGTTGGATCTTCCTGTTATAACTGAAACCCAAAGGAGCTCACTAGCAGAACTGAAAGGCAAGGGGAAGAAAAATGTGAGAGCCCCAATCAGTCGAGTAGGCGATGCTCTTAAAGGTAAGTTTGGCTGGTCAATCCTTATGCTTATTGAAAAACAGTAATCTTGTGATGTCAAAAATACACTTGAGTATAGTATGCAAATAGCTGACATTGGTAGTTGAGTGTTCCTAACATTATTCATATACAACTAGTCTCCTTTTTACATCTAGCTGCAAACCGAGGCCAAAGCTTCCAGAATTCAACATCTCAACAGGTGTCAAATGGCCCAAATTTTGCTGTATTTGATGAAAACACAGCCTCAATCTCCAGAGCTGAGCTTCCTATACTTACACCACAGCCATGGGCAGCACCCCCAACAGGAAGGGCCAAAGAGAACGAACTGAAGGCAGGACCTTGGAACTCAGGCAGGGTAAGGAATGGCAAGGCTGGTTGCCTAAAAAAGGAGGGAGGTTATAAGACTAGGTGATTCTTCCCAGTCTTTCAAATTAAGTCTACGCATGCTATATATGAAGTCAAACTTATCTCCCTCCTTTAGGATTTAGCTTTATTGTAACTCGCATAACAATAACAAAAGCCTCAACCTAAGATTTCTTCCTAAGCCAGGCTATTTCTCTAACTTCCTACAAAATCTCCACATCTCTGCTTCCAGCCCCTTAGCTCCACTGATTTAGAAGAAAGCTCCCCTTGCACTGTGAAATCAACAGATATGTCTGCTGAGTCTAATTCTTGCTAACGAGAAGGTACAACAGAAGAGACCTCGTACCCTTTTATGGAGCTAGGGTGGGGTGGAAAGGAGAGAAGCTGGCCAAGGGTGGAGTAGGAAAAGGGACAGGAGGGAAGGTGTGTACACACACACCCACACACACATTTTGGTTAGTCCAGTGAGATGAGATGAGAGCAAAGCAGAAGATTAATTATCTGCAGCTAAATTGGCTTAGTGCAGCTCAACCTGTGGAACAGTTTGAGGATGTGGTTATGCAGCCTTATATGCATGGGAAGGGGGTCAGTAACATTCCACAGGTCTGGTGGCTGGAGAACTGAGACTTAGAGTGGGACAGTTAAGGTGATACATCAAAAGCATCAAGAAGGTGCTGAGGAGAAGCTGCATCGAGGCAGTACTCTAGCAATGTAGAGTGGCTTGCAGACAGACAAGGAAAGGCGGGGGAGAAGGGATTGTGCTTCAGGCTGCTCCTCTTTGAAAAGATGCAGTTTAGTCTCAAATGTTAGCTGAGAGCAGCTGAAATTAAGTCAAAAGTTAGTTTAAATAGGTACTTCTGGCCTCCATCACTTCAATACCTGAGTGACTTAGTCAGAGCAGATGGAGAGAATAGATGTGGAAGAGGCAAAGGGCAGTAGAAAATATGACCACCTGAGTATCATGAGAGTGAAAATGGTAGAAATCAAACAACTGAGAAGGAAGAGTAGGAAAGAGCAAAGGACTCAAATTATGAAAACCCTGAGGAAAATAATTGCCACTAGTTAAAGGGCAATTTGATTAAGAGAATGAAACGTGCTTGCATAGCTAGCATGTTGGTCCAAGTGAATGGAGTGTGGTTCACAGTATCTGAAGTTTTTAATTAGGGCTGTTGATTAATCGCAGTTAACTCATGCGATTAACTAAAAAAAAATGTATCGCGATTAACCACACTGTTAAACAATAGAAGACCAATTGAAATTTATTAAATATTTTTGGATGTTTTTCTACATTTTTCAAATATATTTATTTCTATTACAACACAGAATACAAAGTGTACAGTGCTCACTTTATATTATTTTTATTACAAATATTTGCATTGTAAAAATGATAAAAGAAATAGTATTTTTCAATTCACCTCATACAAATACTGTAGTGCAATCTCTTTATCCTGAAAGTGTAACTTACAAATGTAGATTTTTGTTGTTGTTGTTACATAACTGCACTCAAAACAAAAACAATGTAAAACTTTAGAGCCTACAAGTCCACTCAGTCCTACTTCTTGTTCAGCCAATCACTAAGACAAGCAAGTTTGTTTACATTTATGGGAGATACTGCTGCCTGCTTCTTTTTTACAATGTTACCTGAAAGTGAGAACAGGCTTTCCCATGTCACTTTTGCAGACAGCGTTGCAAGGTATTTACGTGCCAGATATGATAAACTTTCGTATGTCCCTTCATGCTTTGGCCACCATTCCAATGTAAGATTTCTAAAGATAGCTACCGCACTCGACCCAAGGTTTAAGAATCTGAAGTGCCTTCCAAAATCTAAGAGGGATGAGGTGTGGAGCATGCTTTCAGAAGTCTTAAAAGAGCAACACTCCGATGCGGAAACAGCAGAAATCGAACCACCAAAAAAGAAAATCAACCTTCTGCTGGTGGCATCGGACTCCGGTGATGAAAATGGACATGCGTTCATCCGCTCTGCTTTGGATCGTTATCGAGCAGAACCCATCATCAGCATGGACTCATGTCCTCTGGAATGGTGGTTGACGCATGAAGGGACACATGAATCTTTAGCGCACCTGGCACATAAATATCTTGCGATGCCGGCTATAACAGTGCCATGTGAACGCCTGTTCTCACTTTCAGGTGACATTGTAAACAAGAAGCGGGACTGAGTGGACTTATAGGTGCTAAAGTTTTATGTTTTATTTTTGAATGCAGTTATTCTTTTGTACATTTGTAAGTTCAACTTTCATGATAAAGAGCTTGCACTACAGTACTTGTATGAGGTGAATTGAAAAATACTATTTCTTTTGTTTTTTACAGTGCAAATATTTGTAATAAAAAGTGGGTACTGTACACTGTATTGTAATAGAAATTAATATATTTGAAAATGTAGAAAACCTCTGAAAGTATTTAAATAAATGGTATTCTATTGTTTAACAGCACGACTAATAGCGATTAATTTTTTTAATCACTTGACAGCCCTATTTTTAATTAAGTGAAGGAGAATGAGAAGGTACAAGGGTTGCCAACTTGATGCTTCCCTTGACTTCCTGGTCATAATCTGCAAGGGAGGAAAATGGGGAAGTCAGGAAGCACTCAGCTGAGAGTAGAGATTATGCTGCTGAAGTATTGGGGCAATCTTAAGCGAAAAGTGGGTGGAAGAGGAAAAAATAAGATATTGACTGGGTAGTGAGGATTATCAACATCTCTGGAAATGAGATAGGAGTCTAAAAGAAAGGTATGTGTCACTGTTTTTCGGGGTGTTGGCCATTTCGAAATTTTGTAACTTGACTGCATAGCAGAAGGAAACTGAAGTGCTGGAGAAATATGGGTTTTTATGGAGGCAGGATTTTTAAGGACTTAATGAGTTGTCATTGCGGACATCAAAAAGTCTGGGCAGAGAAGGAGAACAAATCAGCCTATGGGTGTGTTTTTTAAGAATGAATCTTTAAGCTGCTAACATTGGGTTTCTGCTCCCTCAGCGTCCTCGTGGTAACATGAACTCTGGTGTAGAGGTGCCCTGTATGCTGCCCAGCTTTACCCCATATGTGGAAGAGTCTGCACAGCAACAAGTCATGTGAGTTTCTATCTCCTCAGAAGGCTTGTAGTGGGAGCTGGCAGGGTTGGGGAGAAGGACACAGCTGCCCTGAATTCTCAAGTCTACTTCATAAGTCTATGGCCTTGTCTGTGTGGTGGTAGGGAGCAGCCAAGTCTGATCCAGGTTTGTAGCTATGTTTCGTAGTGTCTTTTGGAACTTTACAGTCAGCTTAAAAAGGAGTTTTCTTTTGAGAAAGCTTTCAAAAAGTTTCCATGACAAGTATGGAGGAGTATGTTACTTGGCTTGAACCTAGCTTCCTGCTTGTGCATTGCTCACTAAAATGCCTGTAAATTCCTCTGATGTTTTTATCGCTTCATACATCAGGAAAAAAAGTTGATGTTTACCCCTTTCTGGAGAAGGTGACTGGTGGTAGTTATTCTTGCCACAGCTATCTTGCAGTAGGGAAAGTGAGTGGAACATTGCTTCTTTTTTGACTGTGTATAAAATACAAAAGCAAGAGCATCAAGGGCTTGGTTGCAGCACAGATTTTCCCTAATTCAAAGGGCTTGTCTACACAGTGTGAACAGTGCTGCATTAATGCTCTCTAGAACTTTTAGTGTCCTCCATCAGAGTCTACACGGGCCAGTTAGATTCCATGCACAAAATGTTGATGCACGTTAGAATTCACACCCCACTGTTGTGCATTACTGCACTGCGTAGCTAAGCCCATAGTTTTGTATATTGTGCATGGAATCTAAGCCATGTCCTGGAACCATGCTACCTAGCTGTATCCAAAAGTGTATCATAATCCAGGAACATGTTTATAACAAGGCAAGGTCCTGTCTATGCTAAAGACACAAACATATCTCACCTGTTATGGGAGTCGCCTCGTGCTATATAGTTGGGTCCCCTGACATGGTTGTTTCCTATAGTATAGGTTGAACCTTTGCTGTTTGCACAGTGTGGTCCTGTCTACACTTATATTTAAAGGGAATTGAGAAACATTTTAAATATGGTTCCACCTAAATTAGCTTTCTAAGTGGTCTGGCCAGTCAGTTTTGGATGAGGCTATACCTTATGGGAACAGTTTAGAAAAATCTGTCCTGTTCTGTCCATGCTATGGGCATTGGCCTGCCCCAAACTATGCTTGAAAGAGTTTAACTGGAACCATGTTTACAGAGTGAAAAACAGAATGTGAACGCTTGGGGTAGAAGGGTCCTAAATAGATTTAGCTGACTCTCTAGCAAATTTCCCAAACCCAACTGTGATGCCTATATCTTGCATGCTTCAAAATCTTCATGCTGGCCTCAGGGTTCTCTCAGCCCGCTGGCCGAGACCCTGAGAGCCCAGGGCTACGAGGTCCAGATACGCGCCGGGCTCGTGGGACCCCCACAACGAGCCAGTTCTGAGAGCATGCGGAGTCGGTCAATGCTACGCCCGGCTCATGAGACCGCTCATGGTGTCCGACACCATCAGGTGGTCCAGAGACATTTATACGGAACACATCACAGGACACCGCCAATACCACACTGAGTAACTGAGACCACCGACCAGGGAAATAACCCACTTCCTTCCCTGACAGACCAAGGGACGCACCCCACCCATGTACTTATCCGCTACACCGATACTGACTTGGACTCCTTATTCATTCCATGGGTGGCGTACCCGAGCCCACTTATCCACTGACACTTTAAAAACCCTTGCACACCAATCTGGGTCTATGCAGGTTATGCGATATGTATGCATCTTTTCATCCTTGCAAATGATACCTGTACCCCCCATAACCGAAGCCTGACCCCAGATGTACAGTACCTTCCCTCTTAACTTGTGTCTATTTAATTTTAAACATTCACTTTTCTTAATGTGAAAACTTTAAGTTTTAACTTTCTGCATTAGGATTTTTTCCACAGAACTCTTCACTAGAATTTCAATAAGCATCATCTTGCACAGGGTTAAACAGATTTCACAAATTCAGTTGTTCACAAGTCTGCATTGATTGGGAGTGGTGACGGTTGGAACTGTTGTCTTAAAGCTTACTTTTCTTGCTTAGATAACAAAATGAGTCGGGGGGGAGGTGATTGGTGACAAGAAGCTGCAGATGGCAAATTAATCCATAAGGGTCTCTGGGGCTAAAGGCAAAAACTCCCACTCTAGAACATATGTGTTTGTATAGCAGGTGTATACTATTTGACTAGACCTTATTGGTGCTTGTGTTCATTACCACTTACCCATAGGTGTCTACTTATAAATTTTCTGCTGTTCCATTCCTTTCTGTTGCCTTTCCTGTTTCATGAGCTGGTTTATGTTGCCCATAGGCTGACCTGAATTTAACTGGATCCTTTGAGATATCCATACTTCCATCCATGCTCCCCTCTCTGGGGACTATGTGCTGAATGTTAATTATCTTTTGTTCTCTTAGTACTCCCTGCAAAATTGAGCCCAGCATAAATCATGTTTTAAGTGCTCGGAAGCCTGGGAAGGAAGAAGATCCACTACAACGGGTGCAAAACCATCAACAGGACAGTCAGGAGAAGAAAGAGGTTGCAATGTATTGTAAAGAGAGAGTTTATGCTGGAGTAGAGGAGTTCTCCTTGGAGGAGATTCGAGCTGAAATATATAGAAAGAAAGCAAAAAAGAGAAGGGAAGGTATGCATCAAAATGGGATGACCTGAAGTTTCTTCAGATTGATCAGAAAACTACATTTGCAGTTTCCATTAGGTGTGGCAGCCTTCATTATTGCTACTGATGAAGGCAAAGCATCAGGTAGGACTGTTGCTTAGCACCTGTTGATACTAAGAGTAGAAAACCAGCAACAGAGGACTGAAGACTTATGTGGAGGTCTATAATGGGATGGGGAGGGGGAAAAAGGTTCACTGGCTCATCAGTGTTAACAGGTGAACCATTGTGGATGACAGTACTCCTCAAGCTGTTCCTAGGAAGGAATGTGTGCTGTCTGCCTCAACTATAGGGGTTTATCCAGGAACAGCAGGGATTAAATTGGATCTGTTTGGCAAATGGGCCTTTTTACCTACCTATCCTCTCTGGTTCTGTTAATAGTAGGGCTGTCGATTAATCACAGTTAACTCGTGATTAACTCAAAAAAATTAATCGCGATTAAAAAAATTAATTGCAGTTTTATTCGCACTGTTAAACAATAGAATAGCAATTGAAATTTATTAAATATTTTTGATATTTTTCTACATTTTCATATATATTCTGTGTTGTAATTGAATTTGAAGTGTATATTTTTGATTACAAATATTTGCACTGTAAAAATGATAAACAAAAGAAATAGTATTTTTCAATTCACCTCATACAAGTACTGTAGTGCAATCTTTGTCATGAAAGTGCAACTTACAAATGTAGATTTTTTGTTTCTGTTACATTGTTTTGTTTTTGAGTGCAGTAATGTAAAATTTTAGAGCCTGCAAGTCCACTCAGTCCTACTTCTTGTTCAGCCAATCGCTAAGACAAACAAGTTTGTTTACATTTACAGGAGATAATGCTGCCCTCTTCTTATTTACAATGGCCCCAGCAAGTGAGAATAGGCATTTGCATGGCATTTTTGTAGCCGGCACTGCAAGATATTTACATACCAGATATGCTAAACATTCATATGCCCCTTCATGCTTCAGCCACCATTCCAGAGGACATGCTTTCATGCTGATGTCTCTTGTTTAAAAAAAAAAAAAAAAAAAAAAGT